CTGCATCCAGTTTTGGTCACCACGATGTAAAAAGGATGTTGAGACTCAAAAGAGTACGGAGAAGAGCAGTAAAGATGATTAGGGGACTGGAGGTTAAAACATATAAGGAACTGTTGTTGGAATTGGGAATGTCTAGTTTAATGAAGAGAAGGATGAGGGGGGACATGATAGCAACATTCCAATATCTCAGGGGCTGCCACAAAGAAGAGGGAGTCAAGCTATTCTCCAAAGCCCCTGAAGGCAGGACAAGAAGCAACGGATGGAAACTGATAAAAGACAGAAGCAACCTAGAACTAAGGAGAAACTTCCTGACAGTGAGAACAATTAACCAATGGAACTCCGTGCCTCCAGAAGTTGTGGGTGCTCCAACACTGGAAGTTTTTAAGAAGAGACTGGACAAGCATCTGTCTCAAATGGTACAGGGTCTCCTGCCTGAGCAGGGGGTTGGACTCAATGACCTCCAAGGTCCCTTCCAACTTTACTATTATTATTATTACAACTGTGGCAAGAAAGGTCATAAAACGGGGCAAAACTCACTTAAATGTTTCACTTAGCAGTGGAAATTGTGGGCTCGATTGCGGTCGTAACTTGAGGGCTACCTACATTCCATAGCTGTGAAGCTACAACTGAAAAGCTCCTATGCTTAAGGTCACCAGAATAGCGAAGGTCCTGAAAACATCCTTGGGATATTTGGGAAGAAATTGACTGTAAGAGATCATGGAATACTGTTCGTTCCTCGTTGAGCAGAATAGAATAAAATATTGGTGTGTTTTCTTTTCACGAGAGGCCCAGAAATGAGTCACATCTCCGATTTCAGCCAGTCTAACTTTAAATAACTTCCATTAACTTTTTTTCTTTTTTCTTTCTTTTCTCTGAACAAAGATGAAAGCCTTTGGCTTCATCATCCCTCCATAAAGGCTAAGTCAGCCTTTTTGCCTAAAGCGTTGGGAATTCCCTTCTGGTGAGGCAACCGTGGGCAGTTGGAACACATTTGAGAGTTTACGCTATGATGTATCCACAAAGCAATGCTGCGTCCCACTTCAGACTTCCATTTTTTTTTTGTGTTTTCTATTGTCATCATTTTGTGTGTGTGTGTGTGATTTCTACAAGAAAGACATCCTCCGCTGTTATGTGTTTTGTACAAAGCTGATGAGTTCAAGACAGGGAACAAAAAAAAAAAGGAGCAGAGAGCTGGGCTTATCTCAGGCAACGATGGGGAAATCATCAAATTTGCAGACGACACCAAGCTGGCAGGAATAGCCAACACTCCAGAAGACAGGGTGAGGATACAGGAGGACCTGGACAGACTTGAACACTGGGCGCTATCTCACAAAATGAAATTCAATGGTGAAAAAAGCAAGGTTCTACATTTAGGCAAGAAAAACCAAATGTACAAGTATAGTATAGGGGGTACCTTGCTCAATAGTAGTAACTGTGAGAGGGACCTCAGAGTCCTAGTGGACAATCACTTAAATAGGAGCCAGCTGTGTGCGGCAGCTGCCAAAAAGGCCAACACAGTGCTAGGCTGCATTAACAGAGGGATAGAATCAAGATCACGTGAAGTATTAATACCACTTTACAAGACCTTGGTAAGGCCACACTTGGAATACTGCATCCAGTTTTGGTCACCATGATGTAAAAAAGATGTTGAGACTCTAGAAAGAGTACAGAGAAGAGCAACAAAGATGATTAGGGGACTGGAGGCTAAAACCTATAAGGAACGGTTGCTGGAATTGGGAATGTCTAATTTAATGAAGAGAAGGACGAGAGGGGAACATGAGAGCAGTGTTCCAATCTCTCAGGGGCTGCCCCAAAGAAGAGGGAGTCAAGCTATTCTCCAAAGTGCCTGAAGGCAGGACAAGAAGCAACGGGTGGAAGCTAACCAAAGAGAGAAGCAACTTAGAACTAAGGAGAAACTTCCTGACAGTTAGAACAATTAACCAGTGGAACAACCTGCCTCCAGAAGCGGTGAATGCTCCAACACTGGAAGTTTTTAAGAAGAGACTGGACAGCCATTTGTCTGAAATGGTATAGGGTTTCTTGCCTGAGCAGGGGGTTGGACTAGATGACCTCCAAAGTCCCTTCCAACTTTGTTGTTGTTGTTGTTGTTGTTATTATTATTATTATCCATAATGAACTCCGTAATTCTACCTTATCGCACGAGTCTGAAAGAGATGGAAAAGCTTTGTTGAAACAGAAGAATTGGCTTAAGGTCACAGTGAAAAAAAGAACGGAGGTTACCCAACATCGTGAAATTTCTATTCGAAAATACGATTTTCGTATTTTAAATCTCTAGACTTCTAGGGGATGTCTTGAAGCTGTTTTAAAATCTGGCAGATACAAGCTGCATGACATGACAGGACATGCCCTTTGACTTGCATGCTTTACTGTCGTACAAATAACATTCCAGTTTGGGAAAATATGATTCAGTTTGACTCTCCTAACCTCCTGCGAGTTCTCGTTTTTTTAAATCCTAAGAGCGCATTCCAAACCAGACGTAAAAAGGGGAATCAGGAACATCTCTAGAGGTTGAGCTGTTCCCGGCTGACGCTTCCAAGTGCTCACACAAAGACAGAGCTTTGATTATTTTTCATCCTTGGTTTGGAACAGTCCAGAGCAGAGGTCCCCAACCTTTTGGGCACCAGGGACCGGTTCCATGGAGAAAGGATTTTCCACGGACTGGACAGTGCGTGGTTTTGTGTGCTGCCTTCATCCCATGGATGAGGCTTTGCTTGTTTCTGTGGACCGGTTGCTGGCATGCCGCGGCCCAGTACCGGTCCTCAGATTGGGGGTTGGGGACCCCTAGTCCAGAGTATCTCACAGTTGTTTCCATGCTTTCTTCTTTGTCAGAGCAGAGAGAAAAGCATCTGAGGATTGGTTCCATTTCAGCTGGTTAGGCTTTGGAAGTGGGCTTGCCTTAACAGAATAACAGAAGGGGTTTGGGGTGGTCTTCTAGTCCAACCACAGGAGACCCTGTGCCATTTCAGGCAAATGCTTGTTCAGGCTCTTCTTAAAAGTCTCACCCACAACTTCTGGGGGCAAGTCGTTCCACTGGTTAATTATTCTAACTGCCAGGAAATTGTTCCTTATTTCTAGATTGGGTGAGAGCAGGGAAGTAGGGATTGTTAAGCGAGAACTGTCTCGCTTAATGGCCGTCACGACGTGACCACAATGGGCAGACTCCATTAGGCTCATATGTTGAGGACTATCTGGGGTAAAGAATTTGTTTTTGAATAAGCAGAGGATTTGGACAGCTTATCTTGTTCCTCTTGTGCCTTAGAGAACCAGACAGAAAGGATGTAAATTCTAAATAGCTTGTAGAAAGTTTTGACCGGCGTCCAAAGCACAGCAGTTGTTCCTGTGCCAGGCTGATTAGCTTGCAGCTCTGGAGAGACTAATGTGGAAGTGATCAGACCAGTCTTCAAACTCCTACGGTTACACATAGCAGTTTTCTATAACGCTTAGTAAATCTGGAAAGCTGCAACTCACGATGGATAATCTAGTTGGCTAGTTGGCATGGCAGGAAGAGAGTTGGTAAGTAGCGGAGAGCTGAAGTTAAAAAAAAAAATTGTATTTAAGTAGTGTTTTCTTCTTCTTCTTCTTCTTCCCGCCAAGCAATGATTGCATTTTTTTGCTTCTTTAAGGAGAACGTTTCATTTGTTCAAAAAAAATAATAATAAAAATGAGGTTATTTGCTAATAGAGTCGTGAGTCTTCCCAAACCGTAAGAGAGTCAGAAGATTTTTCAGTCATCGGGCAACCTTATTTTCTACGTTCATTTTTTTCCCCCCCAAGCAAATATTTTTTTTTTTTACTTGCTCTAGGAGAGCTTTTTTTTTAAATCAAAAGGAATGAGATCTACATTCATTCATACGTACAGATTTTCTTTCTCCTTTGGGGAATCGCTCATAGCTTTCTAAAAATATCTTTCGTTGGTATGTGTGTTAGTGTTTAAAAAGTCTTACATTTCAATGCCGAGTGGCTAATTTTGCAAAGGCATGGAATTCTCTCCCCCCCCTATTCCATCTCCCCTTCCTCCAGAATAGCTTTAGAAAAGTCTAACCGTTTCTGTTGCTGTCTGAAAAAAAAGAAGACGTATTTGTCTACTGCATTCCTGACTCGTCTCCAGTCTGGAACCCCTGATTTGGGGAATGCACTTGGAGGAGACTCCAGCACCACGTTTATTATATTCCGAGACATAATGCCATTTATCTTCGGCTCTCCGCTTGTTTCTCCCTTAGTACGATCCTGGAGGAGGAGAAGCTGCAGCAGGAAGAACGACTAAGGATGGAGTCCAGGAGACAAGTGACCGTGTCCTGGGATTCTGGAGGATCCGATGAAGCTCCTCCCAAGGTACTATTGAGTGAAGATCGGTTTTATCTCAAATATCTTTTATCCTCAAAGAGCGTTCAGTGCTTTATTTCTGCCGGCTTGTAAATTCACAGAGGAGCAGTGCTGAGTCCACTTAACAGACCGAGGTTCCCTTTTGGTTAAAATCCAAGCAACACTTTTTTTTTTAATAACTACTAATAGAAGAGAATGTTTGTAGGTTGAACTGTGGGGTCCTTGGTGCTCTTTGAGCGTGGTTGTTTTCATGAAATGTCTGCAAGAAAACAACCAAGGACTCCTCAGTAATTACTGCCCAGCTAACTTTGATAAATTAGAAACAAACAACCAATAACAAGTGATGGTCACTATCTGTAATGATTTGTTAACTGGGGAGGGGGGAATTAAATACTCTGTTCACAGATAATAATAATAATAATAATAATGATGATGATGATGATGATGATGATGATGATGATGATGATGTTGTTGTTGTTGTTCAAGGTCCCTTCCAACATTATTATTATTATTATTGTTGTTGTTGTTGTTAATAAAGTCTTTCTGACATGATTTTTGTTTGTTTTTGCAAAGAGGTACAGTTCTACTTTGGGAAAAAACACACACAATATGGTGATTACTTCTGATAACAGGATATTTTTTTTGTGATATTCAACCAGGTTGCTAATTATTCTTCTCTACATTCACATTTTCTTCTTCTGAATTCTCTCCTGCCAGGGAATTTGTCATTAAATTGTCTTGCCTTAGGTAAAACATTTGCTTTTTTGGTCTTATTTGTCATCTCACCAGTGACCGATTAAGAGAGACTTCTTGTCCTCCATAAACTTAAGTTGATGGCATCCGAGGGAAACATTTTCAAAATTCGTTTCTTCCTTTCTGTTTTTATGCTGGGAGAAATCCTTCTCCTGTGAATAATGAGATTGTTTGCCGAAGTTTTGTTTACATCTGCTTTTGTTTTGTCAGCTTGTCTTTCGAGACTGGAAAGCCCTTGGCGTTGTTGCTCATGGCTAACTTGTGTCGTGTTTCTTATCTGGACGTGTGTGTATTTGTCTGGCCACTTCTAACGTGGGTCATGAGAAACGGTGTGTCATACGTTTGCCAGGCAAATATGAGTCCGTGTGGAAACACAGGAATTCATTTCTCATTCTTTACGTAATAGAGAATGCCAGATAAAATCCGGAGCAGAGATATGGGATAGGAGAGGATAAGACAGGATAAGAACTGGGAGGAGAGGACACAAGACTGATGGCATGGGAACCGGAGTACAATAATATTTTGAGAAATACTTATATCCCCATTCGACATACGTATGTTAATTATATATATATATATATATATTTATAATTTTACAATATGTACAATTATAGTTTCATTTCATATATAAATATTTTATTAATTTTCCATTTTTACAAGCAAGTGCTTGATAAACAACGTGTTGAATGGGTCCACTAGTAATTCTGTGGTACATATAAGTTTCTCCAAGCTAAATCCAAAATTACACCATCCAATACGTCCTCTCTTCTTCCGATAATAAACATTTTACCACATGAAGCAAATGCGATTCTTATTGTTATTAATAAATATACAATTGAATATCAGCATTTGTTACAGTTTTCTAATAGTATCAATATCAGTTTAAAACATCTTTTCTAACCAAAACATATCTTAATTGCATTTGCACTCAATATCCATTTAATCAGTCAGTATCCTATTTTTGCTTCTTTTTTTTTCAGTTTTAATTTCCCATCCATATTCAAAATATCCCAATCATTTTTTAGTTTCAAAACAAGTTATATTTAGGTAACCAAAAGCTTCCCTTATTCAAACTTCTTTCATTCCATTCTTAATTAGCTCCCTTGATCTTCACCAGGATTTACTTGAGAAATAAAGGTTTATTATAGGTGAAGAATAGACTTTGGTTGAGAGTCATTGAAATATTACTAAGTGTAGGATATCTGTGATCAAAGTTGGACTGGCCATCTTCTGTAAAGGCTCCTTTTGAATGCTTCCATTTGATCTCAACAGAAGTGATCCACGTTATCATCATCCTTAATGCTTCATGTATAATCTTGCTTGGACCAGAATACAGGGTGGGATGGGACATTGTCCAAAGCCTTCCCAAGCAGGAGACCTTAATAACAGTGGTCTTCAAACATGGCCCTTTTATGACTTGTGGACTTCAACTCCCAGAATTTCTCAGCCAAGCGTGCCTGGCTGAGGAATTCTGGGAGTTGAAGTCCACAAGTCATAAAAGGGCCAAGTTTGGAGACCCCTGCCTTATAGCATACTGGCCAAAGGGCTGTCCAGTGTCTTTTGAAAAACCTCCAGTGATGGAGCACCCACAACGCCTGGAGATAAGCCGTTCCACTGATTGATTGTTCTCATCGTCAGGAAGTGTCTCCTTAATTCTAGATTGGATCCCTGTTAAGCTTCCATTCGTTCCTTCTTGTCCTGCTCTCAGGTGTTTTGGAGAATAAATTGAACCCCTCTTCTCTGTGATGACCCCTCAAATATTGGAACACTCCCATCATGTCAACCCTAGTCCTTCTTTTCACTAGACTAGGCATACCCAGTTCCTGCAACTGTTCGTCGCATGTTTTAACCTCCAGCCCCCTAATCATCTTGGTTGCTTGTCTTTGCACTCTCTCTAGAGTCTCAACGTGTTTTGTATATTGTGAGGACCAAAACTAGGTGCAGTATTCCAAGTGTGGCCTTACCAAGGCATTGTAAAGTGGTATTAACACTTCATGTGATCTTAATCCCTCTGTTGATGCAGCCTTGCACTGTGTTGTCTTTTTTGGCAGCTGCAGCACACTGCGGGCTCATGCTTAAAAGGTTGCCCACTAGGTTCTTAGATCCCTCTCACAGTTACTGCTGTTGAACCAGGTGCCACCTATTCCATATCTGTGCATCTGGGAGTGAGCAAATGGCAATCTCGTGAACACAGGGACATTGCTACGGTCATAAATACGAGGGTTTGGTTGTAAGGTTAGTTTTTCAGCACTGTCGTAACTTCAGATGGTTGCTAAATAGGGCAGTGGTGGCGAACCTATGGCACGGGTGCCAGAGGCGGCACTCAGAGCCCTCTCTGTGGGCATGCGCGTCGTCACCGCAGTCCTAGGCCTTCAGCTGGGTTTTATAAAACCTTTTTGCTTTAGGCCTCCACCGCTGTGTACAAAAAAAAAAGGTTCAATCATTCAGTCAATTTCAACTTCTCACAGGAAAAAAAAGATCTTGCGAAGTTGGAATTGATTGATTGAACTTTTTAGTCCCATCTAGTCTGCCGTTACCACTGCGGCCACGCCCACCCAATGGGCCATATCCACCTGGCACTCGACGATGCATAAGTGGGTTTTGGGTTGCAGTTTGGGCACTCGGTCTCTAAAAGGTTCACCATCACTGCTATATGGTCTTCAGTTCAGCCACTGACATCTTGAAATAATAGGAATAGAATAGAATAGAATAGAATAGAATAGAATAGAATAGAATAGAATAGAATAGAATAGAGACCTTGGAAGTCTTCTAGTCCAGCCCCCTGCTCAAGCAGGAGAACTTGTACCGTCTCAGATAAGTGACCGTCTAGTCCTGGGGTAGGCAACCTTGGCTCTTTTATGACTCGTGGACTTCAACTCCCAGAATTCCTGAGCCAGCATGGCTCAGCTTGGAAACCTCTCCCTTTCCCCTCAGCATGGCTGGCTCAGGAATTCTGGGAGTTGAAGTCCACGAGTCATAAAAGAGCCAAGGTGGCCTAGCCCTGCTCTAGTCTCTTCTTAAAAACCTCCAGTGATGGAACGCCCACAATTTCTGGAGGCAACTTCTGTTCCACTGGTTGATTGTCCTCACTGTCAGGAAGTTTCTCCTTAATTCCAGGTTCTTCTCTCCTTGATCAGTTTCCAACCATTGTTTCTCGTCCTTCCTTCTGGTGCTCTGGTGAACAACCTGGCCCCCTTAGTCCAAAGGGTTTTTAAAAGCTTGTGAGAAAAATGTTGTGTTAACTCCTGTGTATCTGATGGTCAGACTGCATTCATACCATAGTTAAGATAGGCTAATTTAACCTCCATATGAATATTAAAATTGGAGCTTTTGTCTTGGAGGGCAGGGATGTGTGACATCCCCTCCCTCGTTAAGGGTTCTTGAATTATTTCAAAATAATTGAATCAACATTGAGGAAGCTGCAACTAAATTCTTCTGCAACTTTTTTTTGGTCTAATCTGATATTAACAAAATACCGTCTTTCTTCCAGGATAAAAGTAGGTTATGCATTGAAAGGAATGGAATCTTATTCCTGGCTATCTTTGCTATCAATATCAATTTACTCTGGCTGCTTTGAAAAAAACAACAACAACTGGCTTGCATTCTTCATTTAGAAAAGCAAATAAATGGTGCTAATTATCACAGCAGGTTGCCGTGTCTATCAGACAGCATTGTTGAAAGGCATCATTGCGTGTTAAATTCTTAGAAATAATCAGAGCAGATTTAGTCGTTTTCTTGAGCATAATTACAGCTTCTCAGGAAAAGAACATTACCAAATCCTTTGAAAGCTCTGATTAATGAGCAGTGAGACCTAATTAGCACACAGCAGCTTGCAGTCTTTTTTTTTTTTTTTTT